TACTCGTTGTAACCTCATCTTTTATATTTCCTTTAAAAAATGGGTATTTTGTTGTGTTTTGGGGCATTTAATTAAATTTGTCACTAAATTTTGGGGTTTAATAAGGAGTTGCGCTAATATTGCGCAACATAAAAATTTTCAACTACCACCATTTTATTCTATAGGGTCTTGGCATTCAGAAAATATATAATGTTGGGGGGTTTTACGTTATTTTCAGGCCTAAAATGTGGAATATAACATGGGTGCAAAAATGGAAAAAAGGGCCTCAGTCATGAAGGGGTTAACCAACCATAATTGGTGTTTTTCTGCACCATTTAGGAATGTGTCTTGGTGATGCTGTTTTTTTAGGTATGTTCTCCAACAAACTGTGGGGCCTTCCTCAAGCAAGCGTGTTTGTGACTTTTCACCATGTGACAGTTTAATAGTGTACAGATGGATTGCATGCAACTAAATACCGTGTTTCCCCGAAAATAAGACAGTGTCTTATATTTTTTTTTTCTACGAAAAAAGACACTAGGTCTTATTTTTGGGGGATGTCTTACCTGGCTGCAGCTGTCCGCTCTGCCGTCCAGGGAGCCGGGCGGGCGTGCGTGCGGGCGAGAGGGAGCTGCGGCTTGAAATCCCTGAAGATAGAGCTAGGTCTTATTTTCGGGGTAGGACTTACTTTCGGGGAAACACGGTAGATGACTTCTAAAGGCAGCTGGTGGCACCAGACTTTTTATACCAAGAAGGATATATACAGTATTTATCAAAATGTTTCCCTTCATTTGTAAATCATTTGAAAATATTATATAGATTTTTTTTATTCACTTATGCATTATAGAAATATAATTTTCGGCTCAACACTGTAACACATGGAAAGTTCAAAGAGTGAAGTAAATCATAATATAATGTCTTCAAAATGTTTCTGATGTCCTTATGATGGCAGAAGTGGCCTGTACCGATAATGACCTCTACAAATTCTGAAATGTAAAACTTGTGTGCAGGTTTTCTGTGTGTTTTTTATGTATGTAATATGCATAATACCTTGAAATGAAAAGCCAACCCTTGTCAGAACTAATAGTACATATTTTAAAAGATATGGGTATGTTGGGTCAGCTTGTGCTGTTTTATCTTAGAGAATTATATGGTGAAATATATTTCCAGCTCTGCCTCCAAAGCCAATATAACTCTAATAGAGAGTGTGATTGTCCCTTTGGTGGATAATGTTTTGTATAAAGTAAATAAAAGTACATTCCACCATAGTGTGACAGCCTTGTAGGTGGGTCAGTAGGTGGGGGGCTGATTCAAGAACTGCTGGAGTTCTGGAGACAACTCAGAAGCTGGCAACTTATTCAACACAATGGTGTCCATCCAATAGAAGAATAACTTTTTAGAGTTAAAAAGTCACAAAGCTGGGCAATTCAAGTCATATTACATGCAAAGAAACACATAAGCAGAGGTTACTTTCATTGGAAGTTGTATATTAACACGATCAGTTGAACCGGATCTATAGATAACTTATTTCAGCTTTCCAGCCCCCTTTCACCTCCACAGCCTTCCTATTCGTACTTTAATGCCACAGGCGACTTCCTTGGCCAATAAGGAGGCTTGGATGGTAGAAGGGGGCAAGCGTAAGATAAGTTTTACTTTAACAGGAAAAATTGTGATTTCTTATAGTGTTCTTCCTATATCTCTGAATCTACTGTTTTGACTTGGTTTTCATTGAAGGGAATTTCTTCTTCTGCGTTTTTTTCCTTTTATGGTTAGTCGAGTTGTGCAGGTTTCTGACAGGTTTACTTTTAGTTACCCATGTGATGCTGCTAAATGATTAAACACAAAAATATTGTGACTCTACAAAAGGGACGTGTGTGCATGATTTATAACCGGTAAGCTTATTTTAAGTAGGACTGATGCTTCAGAGCATGACTGGTATAGCTTGATGGAGCATGGGGACTTTAAGTGCCTTATGGTTAAACCTTTTTAAATGAGCCTGTGCTCCTGCTTGTATAGTTTAATGGTATGACAAAATAATAAAACAGAATTGCTCATTTGTATATTGAATCGACTCTACAATGTGGGTTAGCTTGTAATAATACTACATGATCAAACCATTTTAATGTTTGTGTTGTTGGATTTCATATTGCTAGTTGAAACATTCAAGTGCAAAAATACAAACTTTAAACTATTCGCATCAGATTTTTGCTCAAGATGCTTGTGTATAAAAACTGGGACTCTTATCTTCATTCATTCACAATACAATGGAACCCCTTATTTCTATTTCCAGGTCATTGTGCATGAACAGGCATTAACATAGCAAAATTAGCATTTTCTTAAAACATGTCATACACTATAAAACTCAATAAAAAAATATATAGGGGGAAATTTATCAAAAATGGAGCAGACAAAATCTGGAGCAGCTGTGCGTGGCAACCAATCGGCTTCTCTCTTCAGTTTGTTCAGTTAAGATTTGAAAATGAGAGAGAGAAGCTGATTGGTTGCCATGGGCAACTGCTCCAGATTTGATAAATTCCCTTCATAGTGTTAGTAAGAAAAGTTGTGGTTTTTGTCATCTCCATTATATAATACGTCCTTTCTGAGTCATTAGGTACACCACTTTTGCTGTTTCTTAACACTACATAACAATACATAACACTATACTCCTATAATTGAACACTGTAGGTCTCTGTCACACAGACTGACAGGGGTACAGCCAATCATGACTTTACAGGAGGAAATGTACGAAGAAAAAGCTGAAGTTGACAAGCAAACGTAAGAATGATTCAGATTCTGAAATTAATATTCATAAAAAATAAAATCGGGAATAATTAAACCATAACAAAAAACCTAACGTACAATGCAAAACAGGCTATAACAGTAAGGATGAGGAATGCAAATAGGAAACTTTTGGCCAAAAGGGTCCACAGGTTCGCAGCAGAAATGAGGACAATGTACAATGCAGTGCAAGCCTTTGCCTCTGGTCAGCTGAGTAATGAAACCCCCACATTTTAATGGACTGGATAACCCAGCCCCCTTTTTATAAAAGGGTGGGCTCACAGCAGCTGCATTATAAGGCCTCATTCACATCTGTACTGCGTGCATACCCATGCCAGAGACCTGCTCCCAGGAGGGACAGGTGCAGCATGTAATTGCATGCACATCCGCCTGTACATCCCTATGGGAGGATGCGGCCGCACATGACTACACACCAACCTGAAATGCAAACACTTGGCCGCAAACTGTCTGCACACCTGTGTAAATGAGGCTTTTGTGTGTCTTGTAGCTGAGAGTTCACAGAAGTGAATAAAAAGTTTTTTACATTTATTTTAATTTTGACATTGTTACAAATCCCCCATTGGAGTTCCTAGCTTCCCCTGCCTTTTGTTTGACAATAACTTGCTTAATAGACCTACAAATGGCCAGAATTGAATAACAAGATTGACTCCATAGACGTCAATGTGTTTCACTGCAAAGCTCGTGAAACTTTTAGTGAATGGTACCCTGGCAGATTCACTCGTGCATACTTACAGTGCCATGTATAACAATTCCCTGTCCTATATTGCTTAAAATAAATAATACATTAAAACAGAATAAAAATACCAGTATAATATTAAATGATAAACCATTGCTCACAGTATTCATCTACTAATATAACATAAGGCATTACTCTTCTGTCTTTTCTACACACTGCGTTTCACTAATGTGATAAGATTAATCCTCCCAAAATTGATATTACAGTATTGGGAATATGCCATTGGAATGAATCACTTTTTGCGGTTTTATTTCTCAGAGACTCCAGCAATAGCATCTTGGAAGTTGGAACTTTAAATCTAAGATCTGCTTACTTGCCTTAGAAATTATAAGGGATCTTGCTCTGCCTTTTGGAAGACTGAGACAACCTGGGTTGAGGGCGGAGTTGAGGACTCCAGTGAGGTGGGCTCACTGCTGCTGTCCCTGAGACATATAACCCACCAGGTTTAGCCCACCTCCAGTACATTAATCCACTTTTGGCGGACTGACTCTTTTTAAGGATAAGTGCACTTTCCCCATCGTCTGCAGTTGCATACTTACCTCAATCAAACAACTGTGGCCTCTGACATTTTTTCTACATCTTTTCTGCAAAACATCTGTGCACTGGCTGCTCCTGCATAGTGGCTTCTCATAGGCATCTATGAGAACATTTGCCCAGCGTCCCCAACTTTGGGACATGGGAAGCTCTAGTTCAGGCATGGTCAGTGCACGGAAGTTTTTAGGAAGGATAGTAATTAAAAAGAATCAGTGCATGTATCCTTAGTGACCTAGTGACTGGCATTTGTCTATAAATAAAATAGAAGTCATTATTACACTATTACAGCCACACATTTTTTTAAACAATGTTGAATAGAGTGAGAAAGTATTGGAACCTTTTTCTAGATTTTTCACTGTTGCCTGTTAGGGAGATTTATTCTCACTTCCTATCACAATAAATAATGTTCTTGAACTGAGGGAAAAGGAAACAATGTTAAAAACCTGACAGAAGTTCAACTCCAAAGTATACTCAGAAGTCTACTCAAACGAAAACAAAATCTAGCTGGACTTTGAGTGGGTATGGCATGCCTTGCTGTATCTTGTCAGTGGTTTTGTAATGGCAGTATCTCTGGTGTGATTTGTAAAGCTGCATGAGTTTCAGTGTTAATGCTTTTACAACATTGATGATTTTTAATTTTGCTCCGTCCTCCCTGGCCTACCTGTAGTGACATTTTGTTTATACCACGGACTTTTAAATAGCTTATCTTCATTTGACACCTTGAGTAGATTCCCTCGAGCCTCTGCCCCACCACGCCAAGATGATTGATGAAAGCCGACCAGTGGTTTGAGAGTGTGGAGGTATCCTAATTGTTCTCTGTTGCTTAACCCGTGTTTAGCATGGTTTCGGCTTTCTGCCCTGTCCTTCACTAATAATACATAAGAGATGACCTATTTCTACTGACTGATCTTCACAAATCTTTACCACACTCTGTGTTCTGCTGCAGTCATCATAAATATTCTCAACAATCACACAAAGGAAACGTCAGAGAAACATCATAGAGGTTGCTATTGCTGGCCTCTACTTTAAAAAAAATGACTATACTAGTTTGTGCTATGTTAGACACAAAGCCAGTGTCAAAGCTCCCTCTTTATAAAATGTGTGGCTTTAGGGAAATGAGACTTAAATGAGAAGCTATTGAAATCCCTATATTTTGGGGAAATTTCCATTGACTTTCTGTCACTGTAATACCCTGGTAATTGTTGTGAGCTGAACTTCCTGTTTCTGCTTTCCAGAGGGCAGTCTTCATAAATTCCTATATAGAATCCAATGGGGAACCCTTGTAAACTCTCCAAAGGTATATGTGGACAGTTTATATCATACCTTTCCCCCACCTGTTCAAAAGAAGAAAAATCATTTGTCATTCCAATTGCATCCTATTTTTTGGCATTATTTATCATCCATCCTGTAAATAAACTTAGGCCTGCCGAAGTACTGGAATGTTGAGAATTTTTATGGTCAAGCTTCTTTCTAAGTCAAAAAAAACTTTAGTCAATAGATGTTTTAGATCAATTATTTCACTTTACATCAATTATTTTTGTGATTAAACAGTTCTCCTAAATCTTTTATGGAACAATGTCTATATCTACATGGAGATTTGCTTTTGTCCCCGTTTACTTACAAGCTTCTTTTTGTCCTGCTCTTGTTTCATAATGTATATTTTCAAATAGTTAAGATGGTTCTGCTTGCATTGTATGTGACATGAATAGTATGCTGCACCCGCATTGTTAGTCTTGATCTTGGCTTTGTGACAAGATGTTATCCAACAAAATATTATTCATCAGTGCATTTGTCCCAACTGTCCTCCATTTGGAGGGACTGCCCCTCTTCTGGAACCAAATTCCTCTGTCCCTTTTCCTCCTCAGTTGTGCCTCTATTATGTCTAATGTATACTGTAGATATCTATGAAAATGCTTATCCTATCTCCTATCTTGTTTGCTATTATGAAAAGCCAGTATAAAGGAAAAGTAATGATGGAAAAAACAATTCTAGGCTTAACCAATCATTTTTGACATACACATCTTAATGGTCCACATAACCGGTTTCAAATAACCACATTACATAATTCATTGGTCAGTGGCACAGCGCTATGAGTCTCCCGGTATACTTTAACAAATACCAATATATAAAAAACAATGTGTCCGTGAATCTGTGCAAAACATAAATTGGGGGTTGATGAATAAATCAAAGTTTAAATAGAATGTGTTGCTGTCTTCTTTATATATAAGTGGATGATGGATTTATGTGTAAAACACTATACATAAAAAATGTTTAACGTAGTCTAAGAAGAAAAAACGTGTTGGTTAATGAACTGAATCTATAATCCTGTGGGAGTGAATCCACCTGCAATGCTATGTGCAATACAACATGAGTGTTTATCCAAAATCAAGTAAAGAAATATTGTAAAAAGGTATATATAAAAAATAAATATAAATATAATATATATATATATATTATAAATATGTATCTAAAAATAGTTATATAAAAATATATTTTATTTATTTTATTCATGAACCCCCAATTTATGTTTTGCACAGATTCACGGACACATTGTTTTTTATATATTGGTATTTGTTAAAGTATACCGGGAGACTCATAGCGCTGTGCCACTGACCAATTAACCATTGAGGCTCTTTAGCCTGAGTTTCAGCAGCTTGTAGAACTTCCGGCTGTTCTTTGTTTCGCTTTGTTTTTTCTCTCCATTAGCGCAGAATATCTGTTCTTCCATCTACATTATATAATTCACTTATCGTTTTGAGAAAATGCAACAGAAGTGAGACACCATAAGGCTCAATTCACAAAGACGATTATAGTAGCATAAAGCTGTGTGAATCAAGTCTTTTGTATGGTGTCCCCATGCATCTAACTGCTGCCCACACAAGCAGAAATTTAAATCTAATAGCGCTAAACTAAGCAGGAATGAACCGGAAAAAAAAGTTCCATTACTATTCAGACTGATAACCTGTAGAAGCTGGGCACACACAAAGATTGGATTATTCAACAAATAAATAACATACAAGAATATTTAGAATGACACTGCTACACATTAAAGTGGCCTTAACAGACTGCTAGGACATTGTGATCTGCTAGTATGCAAATTCCCCATGTGTGTCTGATGCAGCTAACAAGTCAAACTATGCAAAAGAGAGACTTGGTCTCTTGGTGCACCTGTGCCTACACTTTTAGGGTCTTTGTTGATGGACAAACGCAGCCCGCATTCAAGATCAGTTTAAAATGCTTCTGAAATCATTCAGAGTTCACCGACAGGTGCACCAGACCTCCTGCTTACCTGCATTTTACCTGTTTCTAGCTGCTATTGCATTCCCATTCACTTGTAAAGGAAGAGAAGCTGTTGTGGCCCAAAATATAGCCCATCGACACATCCCTTAGGCTGTTAGGTATGGTATTTGCTAAATTAAGTTAACTTTGCTACTCACAAACCAGAATCTTCTTACTCTGGTTGTAAAAACCCGAGGTAAATTTAGACAACACGCTGGCCTAGGCTCAACAGGATGATGACTCCTTGTGTTCTGCCTCTTGTGTCCTGGGATTATTTTATTAAAAAACTACTGCTATAATGATGCATTGAAGGCAATATGTTATCAGTACATCCACTGCTGAATTTAGCCACAGATGTCAAGTTATTACAGTTTGTAAAGCTTGGTGGTGGCCCCTCTAGCCATGCTGCTCTGGCAGTGGCCCACACGTGCCATTATGGTAAATACAAACTTAGTGAAAATATATAGCAAGTAATCAGTAGTCACTGTAATAATGTGACTTAAGGTCTTTGTCGATGGGCTTTGAGCTTGCGTCGATGGAATCAGTTTGAGATGCTTCTGAGATTATTCAGAATTCATTGACAGGTGCATTTGTCCTCCTTTTGACATGCATTGGACCGGCTTCCTATGGGCTTTGCATTCACATAGACTTGGAACAGAATGCAAATCCTACTTGAAGTGAACAAAAGCCCATTGATGCAGACCCTTAAGGAAAGTAAACTTTCATTGGTAACTATGCACTACACATGTATTTTGCATGTTACATTAATTTCTCTTTGCATTGCTTTATTGAATAATCCTGAAAAAGTCCTAGATTACATGTACACTATGCAACCGCTGCTTAGGTGTATATGAGCCTTACCGAAAAAGAGTGCCTGTGTGGACAAAACTGGACATGAGTGTAAATGAACAGCAAAACAAGTCCAAACAGTTTTCTGTACCTCCTTATCTATGGCTGCCATCTTCATCCACCGTCTGACATGTTACAGTGTATTCAGTGTATTGCTCAGCTCTTGTCTACAGCTGCATGAGACCTATTCCCCTTAACAGACCGACTGATTGTGTCCTCTCTTTCAGTGTTTCACTATGTGCAAATGAGCTGTTATTCCAATGTTTCTGGTTATTGGTGATGTGTTGATTCACTTTTTTTTTTGTTTTTTTGTGCTGTAGTGCTGTTGAACAGTGGTAGAAGGCAGTGAAGATGACAGTAAGTACACCATTGAGTTGTTGAATGATTTTATTTATTGTTGGATCATTTGTTTTGATACTAAGATTATTGCACTGTTATTATCGCTGATTGTTTCTGAATGGCTTCCACTTTACTTGAATTACAACGTACAATAACATTATAATTACTAGTATTGCCCGGGGCTGGTGTTTTGGGGGGTGCTATCAGGTAATAGCCATGCACCACCAGGAATTTAGGGGCTCTCCAGCTATGCAGTGCAGATTTTGGTTTGGGGTCTCTTTCCTTCCCCTCATCTAGTCACAGCGGTGTGGGGGCTCCCAGGAGAGTGTAACTTCATTCTTTCTATGTAGGCTGCAGCATGCATCGGTCATTCTTTACCCATTGCCATAAGCTAACTGTACATTAGTAAGCTATCTCAGTGTTTTAATTTTACAAACATAGAAGCATAGTGCTATTATATATGTCGATGTGCTATATTTAATAAACAGTGCTCACAGGATCTCTGGAAGAGGACACGAATAATGCATTACATTGACCTGCTACCCCTGCTCTTACTCCCAACCACCACCCTCTCATCCTTGCTCTTACCACTCTTCCCCCTGCTGCCCTCTCACCCCTAATCTTACCAAT